CTGTAAGAGAAAACCTGGCTCGGAGAAAGCAGCATACAATAGCAATATCTGTTAAAATAATTAATAAAACAAAAGCAAAGCCACCATAAAGTGCAGTTGTGAAGGAAGTGAAAGAAGGCCATGGGCAGAGTGCTGAGCTTAGCTCTTTGGGCTGCCACTGTTTCCAGAGTTTAGATAAATCCCCTTGTTTGACAAAGATAATAACTATGTCTATGGACAAAAGGGTTCAGATGAGCAAGTGAGGGCACGTAGGTCCACTCCACATTTCTGGTCACTACCTTGAAGCTTTGTCAAGTGGAAGTACTGGAAATATATATAACTACTTCCTGACCAAGTTGTTGAGATAAGCATTTGCAAGGGAGTAGGATGGGGGAGATACACATAAATCTCGCTGATGGATCAGCTAATATTTTATTTAAAATATCTTCAAAAAGGGAAGAGAGATGATCTATCGAATGTATTGAGAAAATGCTAATGCATAATAGCACGTGTCAGGCGGCTCGTCCATCACTCTCTGCCGCCTTCCAAGAGATCCATATCTAATTAACGGTAATGAATGAGCAAGCCACGCTGATGACAAGCCACCAGTTTGTTATGGAAATCAGGCAAAACAATTAATTAAACAAACTGTCCCCATCATGGCAGCTGACTTCTGGGCTCTGACTCCAATGCTGTTCTATCAGCAGAAGAGGGGAGGGGGCTGGAGAGAAATCACAATTCTCAGTGGGGCAGGTGATAGTTTGGTATTCAAATAATGTGTGCCCCAATTTCCTCCACCACCACTCACTAACCTTATGGATCCTCGCCAAGTCCTTCAATAATCTGATTTGTGCATCAAGCCACCAGACATAAGCAGGCTGACCCTTAAAAGAATCCACCAAAATAAGAACCTGAGGTAGGCTACCATTAAGAAAAAATACTTCCTGATAACCTTTAAAGCTCCTGCTCAAAGTCTGACAGGCCACCAACTGCTTAAGGGTCTCTCAGGCAGAAAGCAATTTATGTTTCCATGAAAACTATATGTACATCCTTTTAGCCAACTGGTTTCTTCTGCTGAACCATTATGATCCAGAAAATAGGGTAAAGTCTAAAATGCTTTACATTGAAACTAAAACCACTGATGTCTTCAATTAATGCATTTCAAAATTTAATTCAATTTCCTTTAACAATTGAGGATATCAGGGAAAAGGATCTCCTCCATAATTTCTTCATTCAATTCCAGCCAAAATCATTCCCCACCTACTGCCTCTCACATGTTGTATCAAGAGGAGATGCAATAAAAAATCACACCTGGAACTAGCTAAGAATCAAGTGGAAAAAAGTAAAAGACAAAAGTGTCTCACAGTCTGTGAGAGTCAGAATGGAGATGAAGATGTCAGCATCAAGAAAACACGTGCATAACATCCAAATAGACAGGGCCTCAGATTTCTAAAAGATTTTCACAAGCATTCTGGCACACCACTGAATTTAGGACAAACTGGAAACAAAACTATGGAAAGTTCTGTCCTGGTCATTTCCCATATTACTTAAACTGCCTTGCTTTGTCTATCAAAGTTTGCAAAAGAATTTTTATTTTTACAGTATTTTTATTGTTTCAACTTTACAATATCTTGCTTACACTTTATTTTCACTGGTGCTCATATTTATATACACTTGGTTTTCATGTAACATTGCTTTTATCTGCACCTTCTCTTTTTATGCATGCTTCTCTTTTAAAAAAGGAAAGAAGGAAAATAGGGCGGGGGAAGCAGGGGAAAATTGGTGTCCTCCGGTCTATCCCAATCTAGTGACAAAGAAAGCTAATATCATACGCTTCACCCTCGATACCTCTCTATAGTCTTTTCTCATATTACAGCATCAACAAAAACACCTGAATTTATTCTTCAGAATTGGCAAGCCCTTCTCTTCTTCATGCAAAAAGTAAATAAAAGATTTCCAGTCCTTTTTTAAAAAAAAGTTTTCAATGTCCCTTCTTTTAGTAGACATGTTAATTTGTCAATTTCGGCCAAGCCCATCATTTTTAGTATCCATTCCTCTGTTGTTGGTATTGTTGTACTCTTCAATTTCCTCATGTATAGTAGTCTGGCTGCTGTGCTCATATATTGCCATGGTCTATCCTGGTTATTTTTAGCAGTCAGACCAAGTAGAAAGTCTCCACTTTTAGCTGCATGCTTCCCCCTAAAATTTTCTGGATCACTGTGTGTATTTGAATCTAACATTTCTTGGCATGTTTACATGTCCACCACATATGATACAGGGACCCCACTTGTTTACTTTTCCAGCAAATATTGAAGCTCTTTTTATATATATTAGAGTATACCACCAGATACACCATTTTATAGGAATTATCTTTCAAGTTATAACGTAATGTGAATTGTAACACTTTATTCCACATTTTCTCCCATTGCTCCAATATTATATCGTGCCCGCTTTGTGCCCACTTTATCATGCATTCTTTAATTTACTCATCTGCCATTTCCCATTTCAATAACATTTTAATAATTAAATGTTCATCATTCCGTACATAATTGCAACTCAAATTCCGATTTCTTTATTTCAAAACCAACTTACTGCTTCCCTTGTCTGAATCTCTCCATTAACTGTAAATAAGAAAACAACTGGAAGTCAAAACCCTCTGCAATGAATTGTTCTCTTGTTTTGATTTTATATTCTCCATGTACATTTTCAAGATTTCGATATATTAACCATTTCTTCTTACCTTGTGTCCCTTTTCTGTGCTTTTTGCACAGATACCCGCCCTGGGATCTTTGGACATAAGACTGATTTATATCTCACCCATAATCGTAGAACTTTCAATCCATCAGTTGATTTCCCAGCCAAGAGTCAGAGCTAGAGTTTACCAATATTCCCATAAAGAAGGCTGGTTTGATATTTGCTAAACCACAATATACTAGAAACTGAAAAAATCAAATTCCATGAAGACTTCTGGTTTTACACGTCAGGATGTTCATGTTGAAGCTGAGGTGCAAAAGGAGAAAGGACTGCTGCATGATTACACTGCACAGTCAAAGCTTTAAAAAGAAATACAGTTTAAGAAACCTTGGAGAAACATGCCAACTATGCACAAGAGGAGCTTGAACTTTACAAATGGAGAAGAATCAGGGAGGCACTACAGCAGAATCATTGAAAAGGAACAGCTGAAGTATGTAAAACTTAATTTGCACACACATCACGCCTGGCTGGAATTCATGCCCTACTTCCTTGCCCTCGAACCCTAGCTCTCTGTCCTTACGTGTCAATGGTTCCTCAAGATGCCTGCACACAGATGTCCAATGAGAGGCGTGTACTTGGCTCCTGGTCTACTGACACAGAAGCAAGAAAGGCTCAAGGTTAATTCCTTATCAATATCCTATTGTCAGCTCATTAATCAACTTGAGAGGTCAGAGGCAACTCAGATATGAGACAATAGAGAAATGGACACTAGCTTTAACACTACTCCTTAAGATCTATTTTGTTCTGCTTTATATAATATTCTCATTTGGTATGGAAAATTGATGCTTTCAGACAGCTTTAGATCCTGTGCCATAGCACCACTCTACCAACCATACATATGCAGGCTATTAACTCAATCTTGAAATTAGCATTCGTATTAGGAAAAAATCCTAAGAAAGGTGGAAATCAGTTAATAAAAAAATGCACTGTAATCTTCAAAGTAAGGACTGAAGTCACGCCAATGCTATAAATGCACCATGTGGTAGTAGGCTAATTCTTGAAACGAAATTGGTTTTCTACTCAAACAAAGGGGAAAATCATGACTTACTCACAAGGTAGTTATCGGGCAAAAGAAATAAAGACTGCACTTAAGTGAATGGAAATTTAAATAATTACTATCAGTAGACATGCAGCAAAGTGGTAGGCAATCAGTGAAGACCTTTTCTCCAATACATATTATTTTTGCAAAAAAAATCTTTTAGTGGATCATGCTAGCATAACACCTAGTTGTACCATCTCCAGCTAATTTAAAAGGAACTAGGAATCATTTAGTACCTTCTTGCAGAAATAATTTGCCTCAGGCCCCAGGGAACTGCTCCTCCTTCAACCATTGACTGGTCACAGGGCTGCATGTAGGAGCTGTCCAAAGCAGATTTTTTCCCCCCGGGGCAAAATTAGAGAACTTTGAAAAACACAGAAAAATGGTCTCTCATAATGTATTTGTAGTAAGTGAAAGTGAACAGTTTTATTCACTGGGAACTACATAGCATAAAAATTTGTATATAAGACCCTTTGCAAAATAAGAGGATGATACCATATTTACTCAATGGGCCATTGAGTGTAATGCACACCTCAATTTTGGAGGTGTGCACTGCAAAAGAAAAAAAAAGATTTGTTATCAAATGTAATGCACAGCCACCCACTGCCTGCCTCACACCCCTTGCCTGCCATCAGGTTGAGGCTGGGGAACTCTCCAACCTTGGCCTGATGGAGGGGTGCAGTGAGTTTACGTGAGTGATTATAATGCACCATTGAATTTGGATACGCAATGTAGCCAAAACAGGTGAGCATTAGATTCGAATAAATGTGGTAATTCCTGTACATGGTGTAAACACTCAAAATTCAAAATGCATTCTACATTTATCAGGTGTTTCCCTCTTCATTGGAAAACCATACAGGGAAACTTCATTGTTTCCGATAACACAAAATTCTATCAATACATATATTTAACAGAAGAGTCAAATATTTTCAATGCTGAATAAGTTAAACTTTGCTCAACTCTTGCATAAGGCAATATTATCACAATCTTCTTTTCATTTTTCTTCTGCTTCCTACAAGTGCTGAGATGGTATATGCTATGGCTGTTTGCAGATCTCTCTTTGGTTGAGAGCATAATCACAATTTTACTTCTATTAATTAAAGGATCTTATAGTTTTGAATTTAATAAAATATATTGAATGGTACACTGTGACATGTAGTCATGAAGCCCTTCATATTGCTAAAGCAGAAAATGTAATTTTCATACAAAAAGAAGTACCACACGTATCTCTGATTTCACCAGGATGTCTTTTATTGGGCGGAAATGGAGGGAAAAACTTTTCCTCATGTTTTCAACATTTCTGGAAATATTATACTTATAGTAAGAGGGGAACAGTCATACAATATCTTGAGAGCCACAACTGCCCACTTTCATTTAAAAAATAGCAACTTAATGGAACAGTTATAATCCTGGATCTCTTACAGTTTGGACTCGCGACCTCTAGAGAGCAGCCAGTTGTGCTTTTGCTCCACAAGAGCTTCTGAGCCAATAAAGAGGATAAGAATTTTAATCTGGAAAAAGCCATCAGAACTACTGAAATGCTTGATGTTTCTAGCAGTAGTAGTAGTAATTTGAGGGGGGTATCAGTTAAACATTAAAGCTGTGGAAAGCACATATAGCTTTGAATTAAAGATACACACAGAACAGGAAATCCATCATTTGGCAGATAAACAGAAGTAGAACAAGGGAACAGTAGAACATTTTATGTAATACACAAAATGATCACGTAAAAAGAGTTGTGCAACAGTTCAAACTGCTCAGTAATTTAATTTGTAGCTCAACCCTGCCCTCTTGAAGAATTTAACACAGATTTACATAGTTACTCCATGTTCTCCTCCGGAAAACTCTGATAGGTTGGACAATGACATTCTGGGTGTCCTAAAATTACCAAATCATCTTCGTCACTGAAGCTACAATTCCATGAATACTAGCTTCAGAACAAGTCTCATAAAACCCAGTGTGACTGTTTTTCCAGCCATAAACATGGATTCAACTGTAAGATTATGAAACCAACATCTTGCTGGCTGAAACAAACACAAAGTGATAATGTCAATTTTGCTACTATTCCATACAGATGCAGCTATCACCCAGCCTTCTTTTCCAATCATGAGCTGTACTTTAAACTTCTCTTCTATAGACATGCACACAGGTAGTCCTCTTTAGTTCTGTTGCAATGTTGTGGGAAACCAGCTGTAAAATGGACTGTGCTCACCCAGGTGGTAGCAAGTAACTTCTGTTTAAAGAGAAATCATGTCCTTCAAAATGTACTGGAAAGAAGGAACAATGGAAGATCCCACTATCACATCAATACCTAGCATAATTGAGGTTGCATTTTGTTTAGAGGCATCAAACTCCTGAACTCTTCTGGATCCTTACGAACATCATTCAATTAATGATTCAGATCCAAGTTACCTACACTTTCTGGATCATTTCTGTTACTGTCCTAGAACATCTTCTCTATAAGCACTTCAAATCCATTAGACTTCAACTCCCAGCCAGCCAGAATGGCAAATGGTTTCAACAGCTTTCAGACTGCAGCCTATCCCATTGTTCCAGTGCATTATTTCTGCTACACAAATGAGTTAGAAATAAAATACCCCAGATGTCGAGACCAAGTGTACAAATGCACATGCTTGAAGATAAAGATGTCCAATGCTATAACAGGCAAACTGATAAAAGTTGTTAAAGAGGAAATACATCAAAGTATACCAAGATGGACCAATCCAACCTTTTAATGCATATTAATCCAACTAGTAGTCCAAGCCGTGCAAATAAATTAATCAAATATGTTTGGTATTAACAGATCAATTCAATCAAAATTTACTGTCAGAGATTATGATGTGTATATGCAAAGATCTAGGAGTCATTCCAGATTAATATGGAGAACAAGTATGTGATTTTGTGCATTTAATGAAGGACTGAGGAGACCCCACATCTTTATAACGTGTGATCTATCATGGCTAGAACATCATTGCTACAAGGTAGCATGTTACAATTCTATGAAGATGTCAGAGGAGGAGAGCAGCCAAGACAGTGGTGAACAATATAGGAAAGGAATTGCTTTGCCTTGAATGCCATACAATAGAGAGTGCTGTAAAACACAATGATGGAATATCCAAAAGGACAGAAAACAGAGATATGTACAAAGAAGGACACATGATCTGCCTTTCATGGAAATATAGGCAGAACTGTACATAACAATGTAAATCCACACAATCAGAGCAAAAAGGGAACAGATTATGAGGCTCAAGTAAATGTAAGTAAGACCCTGTGCTTGTTAAAATCACAGAAATTAGACAATATATTGAATGAGCTTGCATTTGAAAGGGCAATTTCAGTGCTTAGTATTGTTATTCCTGTCACTTACAGCCTACAGCAACATAACACTGTATGCAGATTAAACGAACAAATGAAAATATATATGCACTTATATAGATCATAAAGTTCAGTTTTTCTTTCACCCAAAAGCTTGAGTACTCATAGCTCATTATGGGCATTTTCCAAAGCCAACATCAGTTGTGAAACTATGGAAGACTATGGGGATGCATTTGCTCCCAGGAGACCTTGGAGGGCAATGCCCACTCCCTAAAAAACTCTTTTTGCCTTTAAACACCTACAGGGAATCTAAGAGCATTTTCATAATTTTTATTTTCAAATTAAGGTCTCTTCTGAGCCTAAACTAGACCAGGCAGCTTGCAAACAGCAGAAGAAATACACCCCATACACTCAATAGACACTTTGGGGTATTTCAGGGCAAAAAAAAATGCTGAATTTGTTGTGTCCTGGGAGGTACAAGGAGATTCCAAAAATGATGGAAACACTCTCTGCACACCACAGAGTGCATTTAGGGACATTTTGGAATGCAAAAATATTTTTTTGACTTCTTGGAGCTCCAGAGGTTCACAAAAATTCTTCTGGATGCCAGCAGACCACAGTTTGCCTACTCCTTCCTATAAGCCCAACCAAAGGGAAACAGTAAAATGCATCAGATTGTGTTTCCTCTCATTCACCGTGTTGTTCCATTCCCAAATATGAAGCAAGGTAATAATTCCAGATAATCCAGTTCTAGGAAATACTCCAACTTCCACCATGAGCAGCAGTACTAGTCACATATGTTTGAGAACATAAATACATTATTGAGAGAGAAGAGACACTTCTGCACTCTTCTCTAGCATATTCTTTGGTGAGCCTAAGTATTTTCAATGCAACTGTACAAGAAGGATGTACACTGAGTCATATATGAGGTGGGATATGCCCGCAGATGGCTGACATGATTTGAGTCTGTGAAGTCCACAGCCTTAACAAGGACATGATGTTGCCTACGGGCCTCTACCATGTTCTCCACATCACTTGCTAGAATTACAGGATCAGCCTTGGAGTAGAGGTAGAGCTCAGGCCATTGAGAGGATTGCTTCAAGAGGGCATCATAGTGGGTCTCGTGTACAAAGCGGGAAAAAGGATAGAGCACAATCCGTAACGTCACTGCCAGAATCACAAACGTCAACATCAAGGAGTACTTAACACACACATTATAGGATGCCAAGATCACTGACATGGCACGAAGCGCACCCCTCAAATTCTTCCGGCCCGGAGCACTGTCAAACACAGCACCCACCACCCTCAGGTGCCGGAACTCCTGCTGTGAATGGAGCAGCTCCACAATGTAACGATAGAACATGACACCTCCATTGCTGAAGACATGGAAAAACAGGGGCTTCATCTCCACCTTGTAGTCAAAGAGGAGCTCCAACAGCTTCTTAGCCAAGTTCTGCATGGATTTAATACCCATGGATTCTGAAAAAAACACCAACCTCCAGGGAGCAGTATAGCGGATCACAATGCATCCCTGTGAGGAACACAGAAATTTTAGTGAGATAATATTGAACACATAACAGATCTGCCAACAGGACTAACATTTCCTGAAGTTACATTTCACCCTCCATATACTTCAAAAGCAATATTACTAAATAGTTTTGTATGACGTGCTGCACTCTAAATCTTTAGAAAAAGGAAAACGGTTAGACTTTTCAAAGTTTGTCGGTGGCCAGAAACCTACAAATCCATTTTAAAAGTCCTACCTATAGGTACTAGATAGGGCTGGTCGATCAAGAAAAAATTTGTTTCTAAAATCGATTTGTAATTGGGGTGTTTTTTTGTTTCGATATTTAAAATAATTACAAAATTTTTCCAAAAAAAGTTTCGGTATTTACGAAATTTCGTTAATATTTACAAAACGTTTTGTAAAGATGGCGCCCTTTTTTTCAATATTTTTTCAATATTTTTTAATATATTTTATATATATATATTATATATATATAATATTATATTATATATTATTATATAATATTATTATATTACATTATTGTATATTATATTAAATTATAATATATTACATTATATTATATTATATTATATATTATTATATTATATTATTATAATATTATTATATATTATTGTATATTATATTATAGATTATAATATAATACATATTATATTATATTATATATATTATTATATATATATATATATGTAAAGCTACTATCACCAATTTGTAACGAAGCCGCTAATTTGCGAAGAGCCGCCACCAAATTGCGAAGAGGTGCTTAGGTTTAGGAGAGAGGAGCCACCGATTTGTAAAAGGCTCTTGTATTAATACCACTGGATGCCACCCTATTTGTGTTGTGAGGTAATTTTGTATGATTGGGTACACCGAACGTAGAATTAATGGAGATGAGGCAGTTTTAAAAACCAAAGAGAACAAGTTTATTTTGTAACAAAGCGTATGGTTGCAGTTTGATGTTAAGCTTGGCAAATACTTAGAACGTTACATGTAACTTGGTTGCGATACAGTTCAGACTTCCGATGTTACAAATTATAAAACTCTTGCTGTGGTGAAGCACTTTATTAAACAATGTTTTCTGTGGTGAATAGTCTCCCTGTTTGATTCTTCTGTGATCAAACACCAGATCTCTAGTTCTTTTAACTAGTGATCTAAACAAGCCTCTGTTAGTTCTTTCTAACTAAAGAAACTAATAAGGTTTTCCCCTTCAGCTTTCCTAACTGAAGAAATCTCTAACTATTCACCAAACACTGTTTCTCTACTTCCCACTTTCTCTCTACATAACTGTTCACTCCTCCTAACCTAACTCTGCTTCTTCACTCCTCTGAGCTTAAAACCTGACTGACTCTTAACTGTCGCTTTTCAAAAACTACTCTTCTCTAAGCTCCTCCCACTCCTCTGCAGCATCGTTTCCATGGTAACACACTCCTCTCAGCTAGGCCGCTCCAGCCTTAGGGCAACCAATGCAAACACAAATACAGTTATAATCATATTATTATAATCACTTCTGTACAATTATTATATTATAGTATATTATTTTATATATTATAATATATTATACATATTATATTATATTATATATTATTATATTATCATTATAACAACAAAAATAGCTAGAAGCACTTAATTTAGTGATCTACTTCTAGTATCAAGAACTAAAGTCTGTAGCAAATTGCTGTGCCAAAAACATAATTTAGCAAATAATCCAGATTATCCTGTATATAATCTGGGATAAGAGCAGTTCAAGCAAACTGCTTCAGAATCACAGGGTTAGAAATTGAAAACATTGGGTGGAAGCAAGGAAAAGTGTTCTCAAAAAACTGTCCCAAGACCACACAGCATGCCCAAAAGCAGAAGATTAAGTCAGAATGAAATGTCCATCCAAAAACAATCCGATGTAAGAATCCAGTCTTTAAACCGCTTTGAAACGGCTTGTCTCAACCCAGGTAAAACTCTTCCTTGGCCAGCAGCTTAAAACTATTCTAATATAATATAATATAATATAATATAATATAATATAATATAATATAATATAATAATATAATATAATATAATAATATAATATATAATAACATAATATAATATAATATACAATAATATATTGTAATAATATAATATAATATTATTATAGTATATTATTATTGTATATTATATTATATTATTATTATTATATTACATTAAACCGTTTCAAACCGGTTTAAAGACTGGATTCTTACTTCGGATTGTTTTTGGATGTTTCCTTCTGACTTAATCTTCTGCTTTTGGACATGCTGTGGTCTTGGGACATATTATATAGATATAATATGATATATTATAATATAATATATACAATTATAATATAATATAATATAATAATAATATAATATAATAATGCACAATTATAACATATAATATAATATAATGATATAATATACAATAATAATATAATATATGTTATAATGTAGTAATATAATATATAATAACATAATATAATATACAATAATATTATATTATTATTGTATATTATATTATATATAATATATTATAATATATATTATATTATATTATTATACTATATTATAATTAAGCTGTTCCTCCTAATCCTCCTCCTCCTCCTGATTCTTCTCCTCCAGCTGGCTACAGGATTCTGAGTTATATGGCTGTGTGGAAAAAGCTGGGTTATGTGAGGCCACACTGCCATATAATCCAGTTTAAAGCCCGTTTTGGGGGATTTTGTGCTTTGAGATTCTGAGTTATATGGCTGTGTGGAAAAAGCTGGGTTATGTGAGGCCACACTGCCATATAATCCAGTTTAAAGCCCGTTTTGGGGGATTTTGTGCTTTGAGATTCTGAGTTATATGGCTGTGTGGAAAAAGCTGGGTTATGTGAGGCCACACTGCCATATAATCCAGTTTAAAGCCCGTTTTGGGGGATTTTGTGCTTTGAGATTCTGAGTTATATGGCTGTGTGGAAAAAGCTGGGTTATGTGAGGCCACACTGCCATATAATCCAGTTTAAAGCCCGTTTTGGGGGATTTTGTGCTTTGAGATTCTGAGTTATATGGCTGTGTGGAAAAAGCCGGGTTATGTGAGGCCACACTGCCATATAATCCAGTTTAAAGCCCGTTTTGGGGGATTTTGTGCTTTGAGATTCTGAGTTATATGGCTGTGTGGAAAAAGCTGGGTTATGTGAGGACACACTGCCATATAATCCAGTTTAAAGCCCGTTTTGGGGGATTTTGTGCTTTGAGATTCTGAGTTATATGGCTGTGTGGAAAAAGCTGGGTTATGTGAGGACACACTGCCATATAATCCAGTTTAAAGCCCGTTTTGGGGGATTTTGTGCTTTGAGATTCTGAGTTATATGGCTGTGTGGAAAAAGCCGGGTTATGTGAGGCCACACTGCCATATAATCCAGTTTAAAGCCCGTTTTGGGGGATTTTGTGCTTTGAGATTCTGAGTTATATGGCTGTGTGGAAAAAGCCGGGTTATGTGAGGACACACTGCCATATAATCCAGTTTAAAGCCCGTTTTGGGGGATTTTGTGCTTTGAGATTCTGAGTTATATGGCTGTGTGGAAAAAGCTGGGTTATGTGAGGCCACACTGCCATATAATCCAGTTTAAAGCCCGTTTTGGGGGATTTTGTGCTTTGAGATTCTGAGTTATATGGCTGTGTGAAAAAGCTGGGTTATGTGAGGCCACACTGCCATATAATCCAGTTTAAAGCCCGTTTTGGGGGATTTTGTGCTTTGAGATTCTGAGTTATATGGCTGTGTGGAAAAAGCTGGGTTATGTGAGGACACACTGCCATATAATCCAGTTTAAAGCCCGTTTTGGGGGATTTTGTGCTTTGAGATTCTGAGTTATATGGCTGTGTGGAAAAAGCTGGGTTATGTGAGGCCACACTGCCATATAATCCAGTTTAAAGCCCGTTTTGGGGGATTTTTTGCTTTGAGATTCTGAGTTATATGGCTGTGTGGAAAAAGCTGGGTTATGTGAGGCCACACTGCCATATAATCCAGTTTAAAGCCCGTTTTGGGGGATTTTGTGCTTTGAGATTCTGAGTTATATGGCTGTGTGGAAAAAGCTGGGTTATGTGAGGCCACACTGCCATATAATCCAGTTTAAAGCCCGTTTTGGGGGATTTTGTGCTTTGAGATTCTGAGTTATATGGCTGTGTGGAAAAAGCTGGGTTATGTGAGGCCACACTGCCATATAATCCAGTTTAAAGCACGTTTTGGGGGATTTTGTGCTTTGAGATTCTGAGTTATATGGCTGTGTGGAAAAAGCCGGGTTATGTGAGGCCACACTGCCATATAATCCAGTTTAAAGCCCGTTTTGGGGGATTTTGTGCTTTGAGATTCTGAGTTATATGGCTGTGTGGAAAAAGCTGGGTTATGTGAGGACACACTGCCATATAATCCAGTTTAAAGCCCGTTTTGGGGGATTTTGTGCTTTGAGATTCTGAGTTATATGGCTGTGTGGAAAAAGCCGGGTTATGTGAGGACACACTGCCATATAATCCAGTTTAAAGCCCGTTTTGGGGGATTTTGTGCTTTGAGATTCTGAGTTATATGGCTGTGTGGAAAAAGCTGGGTTATGTGAGGCCACATTCCTGATAGTTCGGCTGATCGGCTGATCAGTAAACAACATATTCATGAATTTCCTGCTGTTATATTAAGACTCTTACCCATGCTGTGACAGTAATCTCTCCCCCCCCCCCCCCGTTTAAAAAGTTTGAAGACCCCTGATATTAGTAATAAATAATAGTTTGAAGCTGCTGCCCAGGAAGACAGCATGAGGAAAGAGGAGGGAAGCAGCAGAGCAAAGGTGGCTGGCAGGAGGGGAGAGACTGGAAGTGGGGCATATGCGCCGCTTGCTAGCTTGCTACCGGGGAGGGAAACACGATGCTTGGGAGCGCCGGATTGGCTCCCAGGGCACCAGCAGCCTCCATCCCATTTACGAAACGGGCGGAAGCTCGTTAAAACAATGGGGGTTGCCGGTTCGTTATTTTTAAACCCTTCCGGGTTTGAAAATGTGTTTTGTTATCGTTTCGTAAATGCTAAAAATAACGAATGTTTAACGAATTAACGAATTAACGAATTAACGAACGAAACCGCCCAGGCCTAGTACTAGACAATGAACGTACAGAGTATAAGTCTGTTGTGTACAAGGATGGGAAGCTCTATAAACCAAATCAGGTCAACCTTATATGTTTCAATCTGACTCATCATTCTAGTTTAATTATGGGTTCCAATGCAACCTCCATGACCCTTTCAAGAACAGTGGCACACTAAATTGACAGTGTAGGAGACAATAGATGATGTCTTTCCTTGCCACCTCTGTAACATTTCCATCCTTAGAGCTTCAGTGAGCATATTGTGATCAAGGTAATACAGAAGAGTCAATGGGCCTAGACAAGTTTTGTACATTTTGTGTGGCCAAACTACAGGGGAAATATACCAGCATGTTTATAGATAAAACACATTTTTAAAAACAAGCCTGGGGCTCATTTAAGCCAGGCAACATGAAACCATCATATTTTTAAAATCTTCACAATTCTATGTTATTGGGAAAATTTTTGCCACCTGGCAATCTCAGAAATGTCAGAACAAAATGAAACACAATAGAACTTTAGGGAGCCAGCTCTGATGTGAAATACTGGATAAAGGTTATTGTATTAGAAAGCAGCCACATGGATACTTCTGAGATAATTAAAGCCACCTCCCTATGCTATAATTTCTGGTGTGATTTGAGCATCTCTCTATTACAAAGAGAAAATGATGAAATAGGTGCATCCTTTATTATTAGTAATTTTTTCATGTTCACTTTGACCAGATCTACAAAGACTGCTACACTGATCAATGAAAGAGGAAGATCGTGTTAGAAGAACTGACATCAAACACATCCTCTAAGACTACTCCGAAGTATTTAGATTTTACCTGTTTTTTGTTTTATATATTCCCTCTTCTTTACGAAGTAATTAGAAAAACATGCAAGATGAAAACCAAATTCCTAAAAAGAATAATGAATACCAAACAATACAGCTAACCTAATAATTATACCATCTCATTTAAAACCATAAACAGTGGTCCAAAACGGAAACGTATAGTCCAGTAGTGTTTTATACTGTACTATTGTTGGTGTTTTAATGTGTTATTAACCATTTTCAGGGTTTTACTAATTTATTTCATTTCAGATTTATTGTGAATTGCCCTATGGATTTTTGTAAAAAGGACAGAAGAAAAACAACAATAATAAAGAACTTAATTAAATGAGAATTCAGGCCCCAACAAATAATAATTTTATTTCTTACACACCTCTCCTCATGGCTCGAGGCAAGTTACAACATCTTCTCAAAGAACTATACATTTTAACTATGTCCAAATATGACTCAGGATTTCAGCAGAACATACTACCTAAGGAAGGCATTTCTCAAGGATGAAGCTATAACTTGGAAAACCGTGTTAGATATGAATATATGTGAACTTCAGACAATAAGAAAAATCACAAAGCCTCAAATGTTCAATTAAGACGTCAGAGAGGAATAAAAAGAATCAGTAGTCTTCAAGTATCAGATTCCTATGCTATTTATAGAGATTTAAAGGTACAATAAACTGTCTAAAAGTAAGAAGTTGAATCAATAGTAATTTCATAGTACTGTCAGATTGTAGGATGACACATGCTTATGTAATTCCTCTTGTAGTTTTAAAATCAGAAAAAGCATCCTACCGTACTTTAAATATTGAGAATAGACACAATGCTGAACCTTATTTTTAATTCACATGAATGAAATCTTTGACTAATTTTTTCATGTGGCTTTGTAGAAACGCACAACATCCTTTTCCTTACTCCAGCTCACATCTATCAAAATGCACTTTGATAGCATCTGGGATCCCTGGTCTATTGGATAAAATATAGCAATGACTTCTAGTGCTGGGTTTTAGGCATAAGTGTTTCAGAGGAATCCCAAAGGCTTTTATCTTGGAGAATCTACAAAGCCTCAACTTCTAGAATGGGGTTTGAAAATCACTGACAACTCTCAATATCTATTGGAATTGATCATGTTGGGTGGAAAGGTCAGGAACCGTAGCCTTAAATAAATGCCAGGAACTGTCCTTTAAATGGAGTACAGAGTAGGGTGTGAAATGCTTTTGCTTCAGAGGATGATTTAAAACTCATAAATACTAAAAGTTAAAGGTTTCCACTTGACATTAAGTCTAGTTGTGTCCGACTCTGGAGGGTGGTGCTCATTTCCATTTCTAAGCCAAAGAGCCAGCGTTGTCCGTAGATGCCTCCAAAGTCATGTGGCCAGCATGGAGTGCCGTTACCTTCCCACCAAAGCAGTACCTATTGATCTATTCACATTTGCATGTTTTTGAACTGCTTGGTTGGCAGAAACATAAATACTACATCTATCAATATTATACATGCTAAATCATTTAGAGAAGTGTAAATTAGGGGCGTGGGACAAGACAGCATGAAGGAATCTGCATAAACTTTTTTCACTTAAAGCCAAAGTGGCTGTACACCCATGTGTCATAAATGGAAGTGAGACATAATCCCATGGGGTTCCAGAGGTCCAGAATTTTCTCTCTACACAAAACATTATTGAAGAGAAATAGACAGAAGGCCAAACAGAACTTTAATGCTTCATTTAGTTTTCACAATCTCTGGAGACAAATTAGCTTTCAAACCTACAACTCTTAGAATGCATTTTAAGGAGGAAACTGAACAACACCAAATATTGGTCCTAGGATTGGTATCAAAATCAAACTTTTTAATTAGGATATTCTAAAAGAAAAGAAGCATTCAGTGGAAGGATAATGTTTAAAAAGATTTTGCACTAACAATATAGAAATAAGGTTTTGCGTTTCAAAACAGTCTCAGTCCATTCAAGTCACCGAAATTCAATGCACTTCACAGGAAATATATGACAAAATGCACTTCCAAGGCATACAGAAGTGAAAACTTAATCTCCAATCTCTGCACTGAAATACTTTGATTAACACACACTTAGTTTGATTAGCTTTAAGCTTATTTTTTTTAAGTTTCAAATGTCCCATTTCCAAGGAACAACGTTTCAAGTTGTGAATTGTGTGTGGGAAGATCTCCAAACTGCAAGCAAAGAAGGTGGATAAGCATTGCTACCCGAGATCTTACTATCCTTAATTCTAGGAAAGATCAAAGTAGCAAATGTTCAACCTAGATTTTTCATAGCAAACGTCATTTAAGAAAATTGTTTCCAATTTCTGTCTCCATAAAATTTTGAAGATATTCTTCCGAGGAAATATGAAGATATGCCAGAGATGCGAAACAGAAATAATACCAAATGTTACTCTTGGTGGGACAGCCACAGTTCTTACACTCAGGTTGTACAGAAGTTGATTGTAAATGATATGATTATAACTGTATTTGTGTTTGCACTGGTTGCCCTAATGCTGGAGCGGCCTAGCTGTGAGGAGTGTGTTACCATGGAAACGATGCTGTAGAGAAGTGGGAGGAGCTTAGAGAGGAGTTTTTTGAAAAGCGACAGTTAAAAGTCAGTCAGGGTTGAGGCTCAGAGGAATGAAGAGTTGGGGGTTTAGGCTCAGAGGAATGAAGAGTTAGGTTTTAGGCTCAGGGAAATGAAGTGTTGAGAGAGAGAGTGGGAAGTAGAGAAGCAGTGTTTGTGAATAGTCAGAGGTTTCTTCAGTTTAGGAAGGCTGAAGGGGAAACCTTATTAGTTTCATTAGTTAGAGAAGACTAATAGAAGCTTGTTTAGATCACTAGTTAAAAGTGAACTAGAGATCTGAGGTTTGATCACGGAGGGATCAAACAGGAAGACTATTCACCTCAGGAACCATTGTTTAATAAAGTGCTTCACCACAGCAAACGTTATTGATAAGTTGTAACATCAGAAGTCTGTACTGTATCGCAACCAAGTTATATGTAACGTTCTCCAAGTATCTTCCAAGTTTATCATCAAACTGCAACCATACGCTTTGTTTCAAAATAAACTTGTTCTCTTTGATTGTAAAACTGCCTCATCTCCATTAGTTCTGCGTTTAGTGTGCCCAATCTCCCAAAATTACCTCACATCACCAAATTGGTGGCACCATTAAGGATAATAAATAATAAATCGTAACTTCTCTCTCCTGAAACCCTTTTCTTTGAATTGGGGCAAGCCCTTTGCACAGGTACAATGAAGAAACTCGCTGGCAAAGACATCCTGAACAGACACTACTCACCTTCTGAAGATAGATGGTGCTGTATTTCTCCAGATGCCTGTCCTTGCAGCCAGCCCACCCAAGCAGTATCACCACTGGCATGTTGACTTTTTCCGAAATGATAAAATTAGTGAAAGAAAATAAAATGTTAAATGAATAATTCATAATTTAAAAATCAAATAAAACTATGTCTATTTTGAAAAAAAGCAATGATGCTAATTTTAAATTTATATTTAAATTTCCATGACTATACTTTGTGCTTTATAAATGAAGATGAAAAGGCTTTAATGGTTTTACTCCTCTCATTATCTCTGTATTGCACTTTGAAAAATAAAAACAGCTATATTAAATAAAAACATTTTGATCCATTCCAAGAAAACCATTTCCCCTTTCCTCCTAAGTTATATTCTCTTTTTCTTATCTTCCCCCTTTCACACCTTTCATAAAGAACAGAGAACTATCTATATACACAGAACACCATCCTTGCCAATCTGCCCGCAATAAACTTTAAAGATTTAAAATCTTTTAACTTTAACCAAATTATTAAATTATAATAATGAACTAAAATGAAAGATTTCTATAACTATTCATATTTTCAGATCACCTGATTACATTAATAATCAAGTGCATGTGCAAATATAACTAGATCTATAATTCATTAATTCCCATTAAATCAGTGAGCTGTTTCTCACAGCGACAACTGTTTTTCACCTTTCTCCTTTCAACTAGCTTTATTACAATCATAAGATTGATACTTATCATTACACCAAACTGTTATGCCTTTCGTTTACAGTTCACACACATCCATTAGTATATATGTTGTTGCTCATCTCAATCCATATGGAGAGGGGAGATAGTATTATTACTGGTTGTAGTAATACTTAAAAATAATTAATGTTATTGATTAGCCCTTAGGCCACATCACAATACCAAACCAAACAAAAAGGCTTGATAAAACTTTATTATACTCTATACCAGGGGTCCTCAAACTTAGGCCCGAGTGCTGGATATGGCCCTCAGGGTCAACCTAAGTCTGAAATGACTTGAAAGCACACAGCAACAACAACAATCCTATCTATCTCATCAGTCAAAAACAGACCCACACTATCCATTGAAATACTAATAAGTTTATATTTGTTAAAATTGTTCTTCGGTTTAATTATTATATTGTTTTTAAGTGTTTTTTTGCACTATAAATTAGATATGTGCAGTGTGCACAGGAATTCATTCTTTTTTTTTCTTCAAATTATAATCTGGCCATCCAACAGTTTGAGGGACTGTGACCTGGCCCTCTGTTTAAAAAGTTTGAGGACCCCTGCTCTATATAGTAAGTAAAACAATTATAACAATAAACAGCTATTAGTAGTAGCAATAACAATTAATAACAACAATAGTAATTAAAGAACTAATAATACTTATTTACATAGGTGTCACTCTATGCATCTGATGACATGGATTACCATCTAGGAAACGTCTGCTAGAAATATCTCTTTCCCAGCAGTTAGTGGTATTATTGAAGCCCTTCATGGACAAGTAATGGGTGCATCTACACTACAATTTATGCAGTTTGATACCACTTTCCCTGCCATGGCTTAAAGATATGAAACCATGGGAGTTGTTGTTTTACCAAGTTCTTAGTCTTCTCTGCCAGAGTGCTAGTGCAGGTGTGGGGCAACTTGGGCTCTCCAGGTGTTTTGGACTTCAACTCCCACAATTCCTAACAGCCTCAGGCCCTTTCCTTTTCCCCCTCAGCCGCTTAAGCGGCTGAGGGGGAAAAAGGAAAGGGCCTGAGGCTGTTAGGATTTGTGAGAGTTGAAGTCTAAAACTTCTGAAGAGCCCAAGTTGCCCCGTGTCTGTGCTAGTGCCTCGGAAAACTACAACTCCCAGCAGCAAAAGTGGAGTCAACCTGTTTTACAGAACAGCCCTTCCTTCCTCGAATGCGCATGCGCTGTTGTGCCATTCACTGGCACCTCACGCGCTGAAGGGCCTCGCGCTTGAAGGACCCTTCGGGGCAACGCCAACGGTTACCGTCCCAAAACAAAGCCTAAAAACCTGGCCTTGGCCTCTGGGCGCCTCTTATTTATTCCGCCTCCCTTACCGGCATTTTGCTGCGAAGGCTCCTCCACCACACACCCGAGCTCCGCGGCCTTGGTCCCCATCCTGACCCTAGCTTCCCCACCACTGCCTTACCGGAAGCGCCTGCCTCCTCGGCCGGCCTTCCAGCAAACCAGCGGGCCGCCCCGCGCGCCAGGGACGTCACTTCCTTAGCAACCGCGGTGCTGCCCGGCAACGTGGCGGCCCTGGCAACCAGCAGGCCTGGTCTCTCTCTCTCTCTCCTCGTTCCTTGGCCAGAACCCGGAGGAGCGGCGTGAAGTGATTTCTGTGCTCTAAGGCAAGTCCTTTTTCTCTCATCTGCTTTTATAGTAATGGTGAAAGGACGCCAAACTAGATGTTGCAAGGCGAGGAAAAGAAAGGCATGGATTCAGCTGCAGTCTATATATATAAAAATGCTCTGTGCATAATGAGTACCTTAAAAACAAAAGAACCAATGAACGAAATCACACAAAATTTGGCAAAAAAAAACGTGTCACAACACAAGGAGTGACCATCACTCAAAAAATTATGATTTTGTCATTTGGGAGTTGTAGTTGCTGGGATTTGTAGTTCACCTACAATCAAAGAGCATTCTGAACTCCATCAATGATGGAATTGAGCCAAACTTGGCACACAGAACTCCCACGACCAACAGAAAATACTGGAAGGATTTGGTGGACATTGACCTTGAGTTTGGGTGTTGTAGTTCACCCACATCCAGAGAACACTGTGGACTCAAACAATGATGGATCTGGACCAAACTTGGCACAAGCACTCAATACGCCCACATATAACACAGATGGAGTTTGGGGAAAATAGACCTTGACATTTGGGAGTTGTGGTCACTGGAATTCATAGTTCACCTACAATCAAAGAGCGTTCTGAAGCCCATGAACGACAGAATCGGGGCAAACTTCCCTCACTGAATCCCCAGGGCCAACAGAAAATACTTAAGGCCATCCAATCCAACTCCCTTCATCAGGGAAAGAACACGTAATCAAAGCCCTCCTGACAAATAGCCATCCAGTCATAGATATAGATAGATAGATATAATTCATACAGAGAGAGGTAGTATCATAGATTTGAAAGGGACCCTTAAAGAAGGACAATGATATCTTGCATGTTCCAGGGTGGGCAGACCAGATACTCTCCACATCAACACTGACAAAGAAACAGCAAGAAATACTGTTTACCCACAAGCATAAATAAATTTCAAATATTAGAAACCAACACTTTCTCATTACTTTATTTTCCAGATCACAGCAACGTGTGGTAGGGGACAGCTAGTAACATAATAAAATCAAACACAAAGGGCGGGCCAAATGTACAAGATAAAATGTTTAAAATGTTAAAACCCTGGGTGAGATAGGAAATAGAAAAGTGTATTTGTAAGGGAGGAGTCCGAGAAGGAGGAGCAGTGGGGTTTGGTCTTCATTAAGGGTGGGGAAAGTGCATCTGTAGATGAAAAACTAACAGATGGGTTAGATCAGGGGTCCTCAAACTTTTTAAATGGAGGGCCAGGTCACAGTCCCTCAAACTGATGGAGGGCTGGATTATAATTGGAAAAAAATGAATTAATTCCTATGCACACTGCACATATCTTATTTGTAGTGCAAAAAACACTTAAAAACAATACAAAAATTAAAATGAAGAACTAGTTTAATAAATATAAACTTATTAGTATTTCAGTGGGAAGTGTGGGCCTGCTTTTGGCTGATGAGATAGGATTGTTGTTGTTGTTGTGTGCTTTCAAGTCATTTCAGAGGCTGACCCTGAGCGAGGGCCAGGTAAATTACCTTGGAGGGCCGTATCCAGCCCCCGGGCCTTAGTTTGAGGACCCTTGAGTTAGATGGTCACTCTCCGAAGGCACACTGGAAAAGCCAAATTTTCAGATCTTTCTTAAAAGCCGCTAAGGTAAAACCTTTAAAAACATATAAAACCATTGTTAGCCTCATTGTCCAAAAATCGTCATCTGACCTGTTTCATTGTTCACTTTTGTCTAATTCTGTGTTTGACTGTTGCATTAGATTCCGAAGCCACATTTTCACTTTTTTCTGGAAAGTCAAGAGGGAGGGGGCTGATCTAATATCCCCGGGGGAGGCGTTCCACAGCTGAGGGGCCACCACTGAGAAGGTCCTATCTCTCGTCCCTGTCTCTCGTCCCTGCCAGTCACATCTGTAAAGAACACGGGACGGAGAGCAGGGCCTCCTCTGACAATCCTAGATGGTTCATAGGGAGAAATATGTTTGGACAGGTAAGTTTTTTTAAGAGCTTTAAAGGCTAAAGCCAGCATTTTGTGTTGTGCCCGGTAGCAAACCGGCAGCCAGTGGAGCTGGCGTAACAGAGGAGTTGTATGTTCCGATTGGAGTTGTATGCTCCCTGAATCACCAAATTTTCTTTTGTTTGAGGTTTGTCTAATTTAAGTAATAATAATAATTGGCAGAGGAGGATGTTAAAAGGATGGGAGCTTTATTTTGTCACCTGAGCATCTTTATCTGCTTTATAAAATAGATATATTTGTATGATACATTTCTGTGTTCTAAGTTCAACCTTTGAGATTAAAACAGAATGTGTGTATGCTTCTTTAGATGACTGTGTGACGACACCAGATGTTAACTTGACAATCTGCAGAGTTCTACTCATCCTGCACCTTGAATGATTTTGTCTCTGCTATGATACAGAGGCGTATTATGCCAATAGATGTTACTGCTGAATAATATGGAATTTTCATAAGGTCATGCACTTTTCTAAACTTTAATTGACTTCTTTGTGTTGCCAACTGCAATCAGGCAGTTAAATATATTTAATTTATGCTCAATGAGGGAACACATTGCATTCTAGAAGAAATATGATATGATGCCCTAGTATAAATACAAATATATTAATCTGAGATTAATCTAAGTGTTGTTTCAGATGGTCAACTTTTTTGATGAGAACAGCGTTGAAGAGGGAGGTGCAGGGAAGAAACAATCAATTTTCCCATTACCCAAACGAAAAACAATTTATCTGAAAACACAAATATCAGCTACAGGCTCATATGTACCTCCAAAAATATTCTGTAAATCAAATAAATGTGACTCATGTTTTATTTCTTTCCTTCAAGAAGCAGATACATCAGCTTCCTTATCAATGCTAACATTTGTTATGGCTAATAACACTTTCAGTCACAACCATTTGCAGAAAGCTGATTTATTTAGAACATTTTTTCTTCTACTGAAATGTTCTGCCAAGGACAAAACTTCTACAGACTACAGATTGTTAATTCCCTGATGGATTCCTTTGTATTACTTGCCACTGCTTCTTTATACAGTTTTGAAGGAGCTGGCAAAATAAATAATATGAGGTAGATGGCTCTTCTAGAGATTTAATGCTGCTTCAGTTATAGTGATTCTGCAAATGTTATTTGTGTGAATCAGATGTAGGAGATACATGTGTAATTCAGTACTTCTTACTGATGTTAATAATTTTTGAGCCAAGAAGTAGACAAACTACCTTTCATTTATGTTGAGTCATGGTCACCAGTACCAGTGCTTCTGTATTGTTTATTACTATCCTGTCAAGTTGTTTATTTTTATTCCAGCTTCAGTCTTCAATGATTTATTATGGCAATATGTGCTTCCATGATTCATGTTCGTTTGTTCAGAGTATTAATTTTCTCTCTTTTTGACATGGATTAGTTTCCTTTTATGTCTGTTTTTGACTGATGGGTTTATGCTGTTTAGATCAATCTTGAATTTCTTATTACTCATTAAACAATGAAGCATTGAAAATTGTTTGTCATCTTGGTCTTATTGTAAAATTCTTTTTTTAAGGATAGTAGGAATATGGGTATGACTTTCAAGTCTAAAAAGCCAGGGGTGCATTTACACTGTAGAATTTATGCAGTCTGACACCACTCTAATTGCCATGATTGAATGCTATGGAATCCTGGGAGTTGTGGTCTGGTCAAGCACCAGCATGCATGGGCAGAGTTGGCTAAATACCTTGTAAAACTACAACTCCCATGCTTCCATAGCATTAAACCATGACAGTTAAAATGACGTCATGCTGTATTATTTCTAGTGTAGATGAAACCTAAGTTAGAAAAAACTGAAAATTCAAGAGCATTAGGAGTCGGACCAGAATAAATGTGGATTCTGATTCTTTGAATCAAAGAGGCATCAATGCTTGTACAAAGTGGATGATGAGAGGGAATTCTAGAAAGCATTCCAGGCCCCTTTTTTTCTCTCTTTCTTCGTTAGTGGCTTTTTGCTTCCCTCCTATCTGCAAATTTCACCTCCCCTTCTTCCAAAGGTTAGTCTTTTGTCTGAGAAAAGGCATCCATGAGGTTCCTGTCTCAGGAAGATTTAAATCTACACGTGACAGCCAGTTTTAGGGACTCTTCTACTGATTTTTTGATAATCTGTCTTTTTTCTTCCCTATCCTAAGATAGATTTCCTATAACAATGTTTAACTTCACAAGAGCATTCTGAGTATTTTCTCTTGTGTTCTATCAAAGGCTGATATCGCAGTCTACACTGTACTCTCTTTCATATAGATACCAAATATCTTTCATAAAGTCAGTTCTCTCTCAAATTTTTTGAAAAAACATGTAGTGGAATAAGTTTTCAAAAATTTTGGAAACTGTGTGTTTTGATGTATTGTCGAAGGCTTTAATGGCTGGAATCACTCAGTTCTTGTGGGTTTTTTTCGGGCTATATAGCCATGTTCTAGAGGCATTTCTCCTGATGTTTCGCCTGCATCTATGGCAAGCATCCTCAGAGGTGAGGTCTGCTGTGTGTTTTGACTTTCCCGAAGAAGCTGTTTAACTATTACTCAGGTTAAATTAATTAATAAGTGCTGTGAATAATATGCCCTAAATTGCTCTCAACATTATTCCAAAATTTTATCAATAATTTCTTAATTCACGTGAGATATTATTTTAATATCTGTTGAATTGACAGTAATGAAATGTGCAGGACCTTTATGTCATGACATCAGGGACGTCAAGCAATGTGATGCGTGGTCTGATCCAAATATATTTCAGAAGTTTTGAAGCCCTATCCTTTTCTCTGCCCTCAGCAGAAGGACACCAGACATGACTTCTGTGAAGGAACAGGCTGCTGTCAGCAGATTAATAAGTTTCCTACAAGAATGGGACAGTTCTGGCAAAGTCACTCGAAGCCACATTCTGGAAAATTTCATTCTAGCAAACCAAGGCAAAACAGGTCCAGAACTGGAGATGGAATTTTCTCAGGGAGCCAGTTTGTTTCTGGCCCGCATTACTGCCTGGCTCCGTCTTACGTATCCATTTCCTTGGCAAGCTGGTCCTCAAGTGGAACAAAGATAAGCAAGATATGTGTTTATCATCATGAGCACAGCTTTGAAATATATAACTCAAGTGTAATTATTCATAAAATGTAGCAGAATTTTTCTTCAAACTTTCCACTTTCTAAAGTTGACTTAAATTGTATTAAGTCCTGCTTAAAATGCACTCTTTTCTATCTGGAAAAAAAGTACAAGGTCCTCAAAAGGATTTCACAAGTGGGTAGCAGAATACTTTTAAAAGCCTTAACAAATTTACAATAGTTACATGTATGGAACATGCCTAAATCAACAATTGAAGTCCATTGGCATATTTCTATCAGCTGCAAATGGGTGAGTAAAATGTAGATTTTTAGTATAATAAGTTTGTGAGAGAGTTTTAATAATTGTGTTGTTAAAGTAAATAACCACAGCAGAAAGCAATGCTATCTGGAGTGTGCTTCTGTATCTCTCTTTTCTAATAAAATTCTCCTCTCCCAACTTAATTGCCTGAAAACAAGGTTCTGTTTACAAGCCTTCATGTACCCATACATTAGCTCTTCCACTTTATGTTTTTCAATGCTTTATATTACAATGGGACTTTTCAAACTTCAGGTTATGCAGCATTCATACTGTTGGAATAAGATGCAGACACTGTAAATTTAGTTTCCTTCATAATTTGTATTTTATATTCATTTTTTCATAAAAAAGAAAGAAAAAAGAGGCATGTTCTTCCCTTATTATGTAAAGAAGTTACCAAAATGAGGTTGGAAAAAGTATAAGATTAAAACTATTAACATGTACTAAGGAATATTTGAAAAAATATAGGGTGGGAGAACATGGGAAGAGAAATGGTTCCGAAGAAGCTAAGAATTTCCTTTGGTTTTCAATTTTTTCAGCCAACGGTACATTATTGAATTCTTAGAAATTGGTGGTGTCCTCACACTACTGGAAATCCTTGGGCTCAAGCAACTAAAAGAGGAAGAGAAAAAAGAATCAATAAAGCTGCTTCAGATAATAGCAAGTTCTGGCAGGAAGTTCAAAGAGATTATTTGTGAAAGCTATGGTAGGCAAATCGTGACGAATAACTTGTACTGACATGTTTCAACTGATGTTACCATTTTTAACAGATGTGTTGGTATATCCCAACCCAGTGCCAGTAGCTGTTGCACACGATTTGGTGTGTGTGATCTGAGCTAGGGTAGGGTCACTTCCTTCAGAATGAATTACAGCAGTTGCTTTCTAGAAGTTAATAATCCCATCCTTTATAATCTAAGACAGGGCTGGTACACTTTCTAGATATTTGGACTTCAAGTTCAATCAACTTCAATTTTCATGACCAAGTCAGATAGAAAACTGTAGTCCAGAACAAACAGAGTACCATATTGGGGTTATCTACACTAACCTCACAATGCAGTTTGAAGCTAGCTCAGATATTCCTACACAATTTCAACATAGCTCATGCTGTCAAAGAGGTTAGAGAAGTTCAACAAATTTAACTTAATTTTAGGGAAGGCATGAAACAAGCCCTTGAATGACCTATGAGGCTCGCATAATGTATACCATATCACATAGTGAAATTGGCTCTACAAAACGCAAAGTTAATTGTGGACACCAAGCGTGTTGACGTGTGTTGTAAAACTTGGAATGTATCTAGTTGACAAAAACTGTCACTTTCCCTGCTTTTTGTACCTTGTAAGCCTCTTGGAATGCACATGTGCATCCTGGTGGGTAACCACGGATATTGCAGATTCTGGAAACAGTCTGAGGCCACTTTCAATATAATAATCCTTCTGCCCTCAACCCTGTTCTAAAATGGCAATGTAATCACCCACACAGTGACATTTCGAAATATTTGCATAAAATCCTCTGTATTGAAGGGTAGAGTTACTTATCTAACTCATTTTAGTTGTTATCCTTTCCCCACCCAGGTGTTCGATCAGTTGCTGAGTTTTTGGCTACTTCCAAGTCAGAAGAGACCCAAGAGCAAGTGCAGATTCTTCTGGATGCTTTAGGTCATGGCAATCCCAAATACCAAATGCAGGTGTACAAAGGACTGATCGCTCTTCTAAAGTGCACTTCCCCCAAAGCCCAGCAGCTCTCTCTGCAAACGCTCAGGACAATTCAGGTCAGCAAAGCAAAATGGGGACACTGAGAACAGGTTACTCTCAGTTTTCTCCATCAGATTGAACCTTGTTTCCTAATGGAAAATTATATTTAGTAGGCTCACAAACACAATGAGCAATAATTATGACATGGTCAAATTAACTGTCTTTATGTCCCAAGTGCCCCTCAATCTCTATCCATTATTGAGCATAAAGAAGGTTCCTCTAAGTGCATGGTGGCTTCTTCTTCACTGTCCTTAAACACAAATAATTCTTAGCGCAAATAAGGCATTTTTTTAGAAACATCATTTCAGATTTTAGCAGAAAATAGTAGAAATGAGATTGCAGCATATTTAATAAATTCTGGAATATATTTTAAATTACACTTACAAAAATGATCAAGGACAAAGTGACAGGATTATTATGACATATATTAAAAGCCACTTCATCAAGGGCATGAAAAGTTTTATATTTACAGATGAATAAAGTATTACAGGCATAGATGTGAATGTTTAAGGTGCCATATGGAACTTTAAATCAGTGACTGATTTTTACAAAAGAAAACTAAAACATCTAACAATTTAGAAACTACAAACTATATTTAAGAGATTGTTTGGGGAATTTTTTATTATCTCACCTATTTGCACTGTAAATTGAACCTGGACCATTCAGTTCCCCTGCCGAATCTAAACCTGTGCATGAAGCACACATATTTAGAATAAAGTTCATGTAACTATTTATATTATAACCATACACACTCAATTTGTAGAATCTGGATTGGCCAGAAGCACAAGTGCTCTTAGGTAGTAATTGGTTATTGCCTGGAAAAGGCACAAGGGGGAAATGCTTTCCCTAATACTATTTAAGCTCCTTGTTCAGGTAACAAGTATTTGATTTAACATTATATATGTTTTGGAAAATTAGTGACTTATTCACCTAGCCCTAATGATATGGAACTAGAGAACCTCGTTAAGAAAGCGTACATTCTCAATGGCAAAACATATTCTTAAGAATATACAGCAGCCAATTACTTCAGCCTCTCTTTACACATCTTTTACATCAAATCTTCCAATCTAGTTTTGTCACCCTTGCAAATTATTTGCTAAAAAATTAATTTAGTGCACTTAAGATACTGTCTTGTTCAGGTTATATATGCAACAGACAGCAGAAAAATGGGATTTGGAGATTGTTTTCCATGACAAATTATAATCTGTTATCTACCGAACCATGCTAGCTTTTTCTTGTGATCTGGTTATAACCCATATTTTTCATTCAAGTTCTGTTTTGGAATTTTTGTAGAGAATACCTGATTCCAGTTCAAGAAATAATGCCTCCTTCTTGCTCCATTACTTTGCCAGACAATTGTGGGGAAAGCTCATCCGAGTATTGTAGGTTCTGTGCTGGGGGTGCTTCGCTCACTACATTTGGAGGTGCAATATGAAGGTAAGCCCTTGTCTTTCCACTTTTGAAGCTGCCATTAACATTTCACATACCAGTAAATGCAACTGAAAATCTGTAGCACTGAAGGAACTGGTATATACAGCATGAGACAAATGTACATAGACAATCATCTAGTTCAGTTTATTTCAGGATGGATCTTTCCCAAACATTTTGTCAGCTGTTGACCATACTAACTGGATGTGGTAGACGTGGCAAAAAAGTCTTAAGATTAGAGGAGGAAAGTCTAGTTACTTCATTTATTGATGATTGGCCAACAGCAAACTTGGATGGGTCTGGGAGACTAATTTAAAGAGTGACTACCATGTGATTTCCCAATAATACTTGTGATATTTATTCTTTAATAAAATGTGCATGCAGCTTTACAATTAAATGTACAGCGTAGATGGTAATTTTCTCAGTAAAGAGCATTGGAAGCTCAGTTCTAGAACTCACAAGTTTACTGAATTGTGACTTAATGAATCATCTTGTGAGGCACAGCTTTTATACTTGAGCTTTTCTTTGGACTAAAGTTTTCCACAGAAAGGGACAGGGTTGCTTTTTGCATAAGGAAAGAAGCTAGCTGATATGATACTTTCTTCACAGTGCGTAGCTATAGTGTTGATTAAGGGGTTCTTCCATTGCATTGTCTGTGCTACTTCATTACATAATGTTTCCTGACCAATCACTACGCAACATAAGCTGCTTGAGCACTGTAATAGGTGTCAACGAATCAACATTTTCCTCTTTTCAGCAATTCAGTTGATCAAGGACCTCATGGCTTATGATGTCCAACCAGCAGTTTTACAAGGACTAGTAGCATTGTTAAAGCCATCAAGACAGGAGACTGCCCGAATGCAAGCCAAAATCTTTGAAGGTGAGATTCTCAAAGACTGCCATTTAAGTCTGGTTGAAGAGATGATACACATCATCTTTCCTTTTTCTTCCCCATTTCTGGAGCAGCAGGGTTAGGTTTGCATGCTTGGCATGTGTCAGGGGGAGGCTTTGCTATCACAGGGAGCATGCCAATATGCCACCTCAAATTTACATGCAAACTTTGTTCCTTTCTCTCACTAATCTAATCTTGTTCCTTACTCTTAAATCTAATGATCTCAAACTTTGTCTAAGGATAGTCTATGGTGTAAAAATGAGAATTGGCAGCTATTTATTTATTTATCGTGTCATCAGCAACCATACCATTGTGTTACAATTCTAACAGAACAAAACAAACACACAGATTAAAAAGAAAAAGGAAAAAAACACAGATTTTGTTTCTTTGTAGGGAAAGCTGGAAGCAGACCCAAACCCAAAATTTCTTGCTTCCTTGTCTCACTTGTGAAATGGTAACTGAAATAAGATAAGCTAAGACTAATTCTGTTGTCAGATTCAGAATGTATATGGATTTTCATTGGGAATTTACATTTTCCTCAAATTTTTGTCAGTTCTTTGGGGAAAAGTTAAGTTGCTGAGGATGTATGTGTCACAGAATTTACTCCTATATTGTTTTCTTAATTCAGAGGCAGGCACATTACATGTGATGGCGTCCTTGCCAGTATATATCCAGCAAGCAGCTGCAGCAAAAGCAATTGGGTAAGAGATTATGTCATTTGTCAGTACATGAAGAAAATGCTAGTAATATTGTTAACTCAATATAAAGTAGGCAGCAAGCACATGCTATCTTACATATTGGTTCACATTGTGTGAAGCAGGCACCAGAGAAGAAAGGTGTCAAATGAGCACTCTCAGAAGAGTAATCCTCCAGGATAGTGGTGGTGGACTGAGAACTCATGGTCTGAAAGCCTAATTGAAGAGGCAATAAAGGCAATGCAGTTGTTCCTAATGAAGCAAATGCACATGGGGTAATTTCACGTTTTTTTCAAGAGGATCAGGAGGATTGCAGCATGTTTTCCCCATTGTTACCTATTGTAGCTGAGAGAGAAAAAAAGCAAGGAGGCAATGGAGACAAGAACCAGAAGATAAATGGCCAAGATACAACCTGGTGACAGCAAGGGAAAGAACTGGGATGGGAGTCATGTATTATTGCCTCTTTCAATCATGTGATCATTGTCTAGCCCAGGGGTCCTCAAACTTTTTAAACAGAGGGCCAGGTCACTGTCCATCAAACTGTTGGAGGACTGGATTTTAATTTGAAAAAAACATGAATTAATTCCTATGCACACTGCACATATCTTATTTGTAGTGCAGAAAACACTTTAAAACAATACAATAATTAAAATGAAGAACAATTTTAACAAATATCAACTTATTAGTATTTCAATGAGAAGTGTGGGCCTACTTTTGGCTGATGAGATAGGATAGTTGTTGTTATTGTGTGCTTTCAAGTCATTTTAGACTTAGGTTGACCCTGAGCAAGGGCTGGGTAAATACCTTGGAGGGCTGTATCCGGCCCCCGGGCCTTAGTTTGAGGACCCGTGGTCTAGCCCAAGCAGCAATAGGAGAGAATCTTCACTGCATGCAGAGAATCTAGCAAACAGATCACTGACATTTGTATACCGTTCCCAAGTACAACCTATGCAGTTCTGCTGTCCTAACTGGTTGTTGCTTTACATCTGTTGAACACAACCACTTTATTTTTTTTACACTCTGTGCTTCAAAAATTTCATTGGAACATAAAAATCAACACTGTGGCAACTAAGAGCTAACGAATAACATTAGGCAATAATTAAAAATACAAATCAACCAAAAACTCTGGGATACCCCCCCCCCCCATATTCTGTCTCTGCTATTCTCCCACCTCTCTTACATATTGATCTGATTAGTATTCAACTCTACAGAATTCTGGCCCAAGACTCAAGAGAACTAGCAGAGGAGCTGCTCTTCTTGAATGTGGTGCATGGCCTTATGTGCGCCATGGGCAACAAGGATCATACCAACTCCCAGAGACAAGCCAGCATTACACTAGAGGCAAGTGGCTTTGGGTTCTAGAGAACTGCATTTGGATACTTCAGGTTCCCTCTTTGAAAGTAGTGATTGGTGCCCTGGATAGGACTAGCAAAGGTTAGTGTACGAAGCCAACAGTGTTATGCAATTAGAATAGAAAATCCTAGAAAATGGGGTTTTATGGTCCTGTGTCTTAGATGGCATACAAGGATTGTTACATTCTTTTTTCCATAACCTGACTATTGTTTCCTTGCAGTTCTTTGTACAGAATTTCATAGTGGTTGAGAATCATGTAAAGGCAGCCATGGGAGAAAAATTGTTCGAGCTCTTTATGGTATGTGTTCCCTCTATATAGCATTTGTTTTATGGGGTCCATGAAGCTAAAGAACAACTGTTATTTTCCAAGAGCAATAAGTAAACATTCTGAACAATAGATAATGTAACAGTTGCACATTTTCAAATTCATACCAGAACCCTGTTTCATCTGTTCAATTGCTAAGTGGTATAATCCATTGAGTAATTGAAGGTATCTCCAGATACATTTTCAGATAAAAGCACTGTTGCATACATTCAGTTGTTCAGTAGTATAATCCAAGACAACTGGATTTAGCCCAATAGATTTGGATTGCATATGTTTTCAACTGCCAGTACCCATATAAGAATCACTTTATCTTCTTTCCCTATAAACCTAAAGTTAGGTGAGTACCTGAAAAAAAATCAGCATTGAACAGTTAAAATATCTGCAATTGGGAAAGGGTAATGGCATAACCTTACTATTATGTCACCCGTCTTATTTTATTACCTATCAACGGTTGGAACTCATCTCCTGCATAAGTTTATTGTCCTCATCAAGGACTTAGATAGGCATGAAAAACCCTTCTCTCATTCATCTATCTGCCTGCCAATTCTCTCCCCTTATCCCAGGCATGGGCAAACTTTGGCCCTCCGGGTGTTTTGGACTTCAATTCCCAGCAATTCCAGCCAGTTTACCAGCTGTTAAGAATTGTGGGAATTGAAGTCCAAAATACCTGGAGGGCCAAAATTTAGCTGTTCCTGCCCTATCCCCTGCTTGTTAGACTGATTCTTCTCAGGGACACGCCTTTTTGAGCACATGGCAAGCCCCCTGAATCCTCTATTTTGTTCTGCTATGCGTTAGATAGCTATTAATGTGCAGTGACAAAGGGGGGGGGGGTTCTCAAACAGTTTCGTTTTTCTAATCTATATATAAGGTTTATATTGCAGAAGGAATTTTTGGAAGAGTAGATAAATACCTATGGCCATGCCAAATAGCATCCTCTTGGATTTGATGCATTTCTTAATTTGTGGTATATCAGGAGTGCCAACAAAGGAGATAAAGTCCTCAGTTGTTATGTTTCAGCATTTGGCTGCTTCCTAAAATTACTCTCCATTTTGGTGACATTTGGGGAATATAAGATTGTGTTTCCAAGGCACTATAGTCCTCAGTCAACCTTAACATAACCTAGACCATTGTGCATTTATGATTATGGTTAAATTAACGAAAGCATAAAGTGTTGCTCAGCTGTTATTCTAGACATACACAGACCATATACAGCTCTTCTGTGTGAAATATAGTTGGACATTTAGAAGAGTATATACACAGTAACCAAGGCATAGGAAATAAGTAGAACTCTCACAGACGTGTGCGGTTTCCTTAGAACATTTTCCTTCTTAGAAATTCCTCCGGTAAATAGTTCACACATTTGGTTGAATGTTAAACTCAAACATTATACAAACCAGTCTCCTACTCTGTGTTTAGGATTCCTGGCATCTTAATAGAAAAGCTGGCCATGGTCCTAGGCAGATATCAAGGATATATCAGAAAACTACCTCTTTCATTCAAGGTGCTGAACATTTCACTTTTTCTTCATTCTAGCAAGATGCTACAAACTTGTACTTGAACATGGATGCTGTGCAAGCCGATATCCTGGCCTCTAATATCGTTAACATTCCAGCTGATTTTTTGGCTAGAGCAAAAATGGACTGGCCAGGTATGTTCACTGCAGGTGTGGTCCACATACCTCTGGGATATGTAAAACTCTGCAGAATTTTGAAAAATAAAGAAATGATGGGGAATTATGGGATGGCATTTTTATGACACTTCTGCAGAGGAACAAGAATATGGCCTTACCTGTTAAGGCACATCATTGGATAGTAGCTTTACTGTGTTGTTAATGTTAAAATCTCTTAAAATCTTTATTTTCTACAGCAAAACTTTAGGTGCAATGTATTTTTTCTTATTATACCCACCCCAACAACCCTGTAACATTCCATCCAGCATGCTGCACTTCCTTTCTAAAGGATTTTGATCATGTTCATATATATGACAGTACAACATTTCATCACATAATAGTTGCCACCACATAAGTTGCACACCCATTTTGGGGTGGCAAAAAAAGATATTTCTGTGTTCCCCATATAATAATCCAGAGCCATTTGAGGCAGTTCCTCCCTTCCATCTGTCTCAAAGCCAAGTCAGTTTAAAAACTATGAAATGGACATCTCTGAAGCCCCGCTTCCCCCCTCCCATCCTCTAAAGCAGTGTTTTTCAACTTTTGGGTGCCCAGATCGTTTTGCCTACAACTCCCAGAAATCCCAGCCAGTTTACCAGCTGTTAGGACTTCTGGGAGTTGAAGGCCAAAATATCTGGGGACCCAAAGACTGAGAACCACTTCTCTAAAGACTTTCATTTTAGATTTTGTAAATTGCCTAGCCTTCAGATAAAGAAGGAAGATCTTCCCTTCTCCTTCAATGCTTTTAATTTAATCTTTTAAACCCTGAAATTTAAAAAGCTGTTAAATATGAAAGGGTTATGATGTGCATGTTAGTCTGTGTTCAGTTGCCCGATTGTCTTTGTTGCTTGTGTAAATGTAAATTGGGTTTCATCTTTTGATTTGTTATTTTGTATTTTTATACAGCATTGAATGTTTGCCTCTCTATGTTGTTAGCTGCCCTGAACCCCCATTGGGGAGATTGGGTTGGATAGAAATAAAGTCTCGTTCTCATTCATTCAAGGCAAAACAGTTTTTTAAAAAACTAACAGGATTGGTTTGAAGTTGGATTATCCCTCCTCCTCATCATATCTTGGAGGTAAAGCAGTTTTTTTTTTTGAAGAAACAGACAAATCAAAGGCAGACTTTTTTTGTTGTATAAAAGTCACACTTTCTTTTCCAATTAAAAAAGGGATAAAAAGTATGACTATTATGCAAGGAAATACTGTACAGCAACATATTACCATTTTCATTCTACCCACAGAAAGAGAATCAAGCTCCAAAGAGGAACTGCAGCCTGAAGATAACGATACATCTCCTAAACCTGCTACATCATAACTGTCCCTTCTTCCTGTATTAGGTGCTGGTGTCCATTTTCATCATCTTATTCCTCCATTAATCTCTTTCATTTAGATTACTTGTACCTTGCTGGATCCTTTCATTTATACTTTTAAAAACATGTGAATGTCTATGTGACTGCAATACAATGTTAAATTCTAAATGCTTTTTAACAGATGAAGTATAGTCCCTCGTGCCATTACTCGCCCTTCCTGGTTCTGATATGCATCTAAAATTGTTTACGCCAAATGGCACATGCGGTACAGTTGAGTCAGTGATAGGACGTCATCGCTTGTACTGTATAGTGTTGAGTTCCAAGAAGATAGGATGCAGTAAAAACAACTTACACTGCTATTTTGAGCCTGCAACGAAAGGTCATGCTTCACCCCTAAGTAACATTTCAATTTTACATTCAGTTGTTCAGATATTTAAACAGATGCATACCCGTTCTTCTGTTTCTTTCTGATATAGTACATTCACCTGCAACCAACAACTTATTCCCTGTAGAGTAGCCCCAAATTGTACAATTAGAATGAAGTGACCCAATTAATCCACATTTTGCTAATTCTTTCCATTCTCTATGCAAAGGAATGAAGATGGATGCACCTATCTACCTTTTTGTAGGTTTTTTTTAGATTAAAATGGTCAGATGTTATTTTCTTCTAAGCACATAAATGCAGGAAAGTATGAATTTGGGAGACAAGATTAAATCATTTGCTAGAGTTCAATATCTGTGTAATGTGTGGATTCTTCTCATCGTTGACTTGTAAAGCTGTGATAAATCTATATAACTTAAGATGTGTATACTGATTACTACAATTCAACATATTGGCTACAATAATTAAGACAATTCAAGTTATGTATCTATTTTACAATCTCTACACTGGCCTCCCAGATCCACAAAAATCAGTAGCCCCACTGTTATTCACAGCTAGTTACCAGTTTTCTACAGGTCAGAGTGTTGGAAGTCGACTACATCCTGCACAAGTTTATAGTCTTCATCAAGGAAATAGATAGGCAGCTGAGTTAGCTGGTAGAAAAAGCCCTTCTCACACTGCCCTTTGTTTGTTAGACTGATACTTCTTGGCAACATGCCTCTATTTATTCAATGAGTCTCCATTTTTTTCTTCTCCTGTGAGCATAGAGACAAGATATCTCAATATAGATAGATAGTCCCTAACTTTACTATATAAAAATGTAGTTACTTCAATAAAGTCTTTTGTAACTTTTAAAGCTCCTGTAATGGCTTAAACATATTCATTTTGCTATGTTAAAGTGTGGCAGCAAGCGGAAGAAAATAATTATGAAAATGTATTTAAAATGAATATAGGAAACCTTACCTTCTAATGCTGAACGAAAGAGAATTTTGCGGCAAAGGGAAATTCAATAAGAGAGCGAAGTGTTCCAAAGATGAAAGTAAATGATTGACTGAACAGGCTTCATAGAGGCAAGGAAGTTAAATATTAACTGGGACATGACATTTTGGGAAACAATAGTAAGTAATATGTTTGTCGTCATAAGGGAATGTTCTTGGCAGTTATACAAGAACACCTGTAATTGATCTAAGACTGGAACACCTAAAAGGTCAGATAGTGCCATCTTGCGCTACGTTGATGTAAATAGCAGGCAAATTCAGATATAAAGGAATCAATTCTAGTGAATTACGAGTATGGGAATAATTAAGATTTGAAACAATTAGAAGTACGTCATTATAACACGTCATCGTGGTGTATGGAAAAAGGCAATACGTAAGGACCTCTGTTAATGATTATAACTGTGTAAATGTCAAGACAGTTCTACGCATGTCTGAACCAGTGGACTTCTGCTATAAATATTGTAACCTGACTGACTTCCAGTACGCTTCAGATATTGTTTCTGAGCGTCCTATCAACCTTGATAGTAAATATGCCTGGAATCAAATTGCTGTCTCCGTCTCTTTCCTGCTTGATTGTGCTCTAAATGATCTCGGGTAAAGTATGTGCCGCAACAAATGGGGGCTCGTCTGGGATCTGAGCCAACAAGGAGAGGAACAGAGACGAAGCCTCTTGAGGGCTTGATTGCCTCCACTCAGCAGGTCAGGTAAGACGATGATCAGAAGGGGCGATACGGGTACCCATTGAGAGAAACGACCCGGCTGATCCTCGCCTTCCCTGCCTCCAGACTGGGGTACATTGAGAATTAACAGCTTTGATTCCATGGCACAGGTAAGGGAAAAGGCTAGCCTTAAAGGGAAAAGGTACATGAGAATGAGAAGTACCTGGGGAATATTTCACTGTGAGATTACTGCAGAAATCAAGTGGAAACCCCCCGAGTGATTGTTTTCGCTACAGAAATCACACTCACAGGTTGGAGGAATACCCTTTCAGGGGGAAAGTGATAAGTCTGTTTTGTGTTTTGTGGATGTCTTGGTTTATGTTGTTTGTATCCATATGCTTTACCCCTTCTTGCTGCTTTGCAACCCTATGCACACATTTGTGTATCAATGCCTGTTTTTGTTGTGAAGATGTGTATAATGAAAAGAGACAAATGGTTTCAGGCTTCTGGGAAAAAGCCAAGATGGAAAAGAAAAATGAAAAATGAGAAAAATGAGAGAAAAAAGGAAACACTACGTACAATATGGAGAAATGGTGCCTGTCTTTTGGGACAAGGAGAAAATGTTCGTTTACATTTTCTGGAAACGTGAATGTATGTGCGCGGCTAGCCAAAAAGGAATGTGTGGAAGCTGTTTGTGTTGGGGGAGAAATAATCTTTACAGGTTTCAAATAAAAAGGAAAAAGAGGATAATTCAGGAAAAACCTGGAAAAATACACATGACGATGGGAAATGCCAAGTTTATATGTTTTCATGTGGGTAAGCAAAACCAAGAAGAAAGTTAAAGGTATGTGAAGAAGGTATGTGTAGGAAAAGCAAGGAAAAGCAAGTCAGAATAAGAGAATAGGGTCAATCACAGGAAAAAAAACCAATATGTGCCTAGGACAAGGTAGAATTGAAATGAGAGTATAGAGAAAGTAATACAGTGGTGATGAAATGACAGGAAGAGAAATGTAAAGATCTAGCATTTGCTTAAAAATAGAAACCTGAAATGTTGATGAATAGATTCCCTTTTTGAGAGTTTAGATAAATGTGTGGCAATATTGCAGTTTGGAATCAGTGAATGCATGTATGGAAAACAGATTTGGATGCATCAAGACTGTTATGTGAGGTTGATTATGTTTAATTATGTGTTTAAATATTTGATGGGTTAAAAGAGAAATTAGTTATTATGTGTTGAGAGTATTCAAGAATGGCCAACTTGAATGCCCTCACTAGGAAAAGGGAAAGGAAAAATTGGAAACTTTTTGAAAAAGAAAAATTGGAAACTAGTCCCATACAGGAGAAAGGTAGTGACAATTTGAGATACATTCAAACATAGAAGATTTTGTGGGGAGAGCAGTGACAAATTGAATGTTATGAAGATATTTGCTAATATATTTTATTAATTGACATGTACACCCCCTCTTAAAAGTCCAAAAATGTCGGCAACTGAATTGATAGGTGAATGAAGATAGATGAGGGTAATATGATGTGGAAGTGAAGGGGAATTAAGCATTAAGAAAAGAAGTACAGATTTTGGAAATGGTATTAAATAACTACATTGGCCTGTTACAGTATCCTCTGTTGTGTTAGAAGACCCAGAGTGGCTGGAAAAATCTTGGAAGTGTGATCCCTGTGATAAAAGTGGAAAGGGTCTACTGCTTGACGAATTCCCACTGCTACAAGGGAGTGCAAAATTGCGGATGAATTAAGCCTGCTTAAAAAGGAGACCATACAGTGACGGGTCCTGACTTACAATTTAGGAGTTGATCGACTGAATAAAGAACTAATTACATCGTACATCAATAAGAAGATAGTTCAAAGACTTAAAAATATAAGAGGATAAAAGTTGCTCTGAATAAGAGAGAGAGCCAACATCTGAAGGCTGTAAGAAGAAAGAAGATTGGACTTTCAGGGTTGGGAGTGTGTTATTGTGGGACTCCTTATTATCTTGGGGTTGGTGTGGTTGTGTTCCAATTATAGGCATGTTTTTTGGGGGAAAGCGTATTCACGTAGGCATGTGGTATATTTATTACCTGATTAAGTTAAGTGTACTCATCCCGAAGGTAATACAAGGGGGGATGGGAACAAAACATATTCCATCAGATGAGTCAGGATATAGCAAAGGAGACAGAAGTTACTGAGTGTTGGATTTGCAGTCATGGGCCTACTTCCCAGCGTGAGGGATGGCCACTAATGGTTGGAACATTATTAAGTCAAAAAGGATGGAGCACCTTACAGCCTCAAAATTATGAGATGATTGAAATCTTACTTGATCCAGAACAAGCTATAGTGACACATAAAGGGATCTCACCGGAGGCCCCAGCATGTATCACTTGGGAAAGAGATGAGAGGTGGACAAGATCAGGGAAACCCTCTCCATACTCACCAAATAGAACTTGGTCAGTATCCCAATTGCAATCTCCTTCTCCATGTATTTAAAACAGAGGCTTCCGAGGACATTAGCCTCTTAGCCCGTTTAGAGCATTCTAAAAAGGTAAAAAGATTTGATGGTGTTGTTTCATTGGAACTGGGTACCCACATTAAACAGGCCCAAGCAAAAGCTGCCAGCAAAAGCCGTGACCAACCAAGGACCCCCAGTAGGGAGGTACCGCAGGGTCAAGGGGAACCCCCCAATGAGAGACCACCAAATGAAAGACCACAGCAGAGTCGAGGGGAACCAAATCCTGCCAAAGTGGTAACGGAGGTGGAAACCCGTCAGGCTGTGCCAAAAATCACTGGTAGCAAAGGGAAGGTTACCCCCCCCCCTCGGGCTGTATCGGATTTGCGGGCAGTGGGCAAGAAAGATTTTGCCACCTTTTTGGGTTGGAACATGCACGATAGGTACCCTAATGCTAGCAGATGTGACAATAAATATAGAACAACCATCCTAAATGACTTGGAAAAGAGAACAGCGTTTAGAAAGAGCTTATGATGAAGAGGTTGGATATGATCCAGACAGAACTTATTTAAATGAAGGAGAAAGGTTGGGAGCCATCTTGTTCCCTACTATGGGCTTAGCTTTGAATATAAGACAGATTGGGAAACTCTCAGCTCAAGTTGAAAGGTTGGGAAAAACTGTGGCTAGAATAAGGGCTTTGCAGCTATAATGACAAGACCTCTTTATGAAGCTACAAAAGGGGGGGTGAAAGGAAACCATTTAATTGGGCCCCCAAATGTGCCCAAACATTTGTCTAGTTAAAAGCAAGCTTTGGTGCAAGCACCAGCCTTGGGCTTGCTTGATTTGAAGATGCCATTCATACTTTATGTTGGTGAACGAGATGGAATAGCAGGAGGGGTGCTTACCCAGCTATTAGGAACATGGCCGAGACCAGTAGCTTACTTGTCTAAGCAAATTGACCATATAGGAAAAGGACGGCCCTGCTGACTCAGGAAGCTGAAAAATTGACTTTGGGACAAGAGTTGATAGTTAAAACCCCTCATTCAGTAACGGCTATCATGGACTATAGAGGATATCATTGGTTCACAAATAGCCGTATGAAAAAAAAAATCAGACTTTATTATGTGAAAACCCTTAAATCAAGTTACAGATTTGCAGTACATTAAAATCCTGCTTCACTCCTGCCTGTTGAAGGGGAAATGCTTCAACATGATTGTTTAGAGACTATGGATGAAATATATTCCAATAGACCTGATATAAAAGATCAACCATGGCCTGAGGTAGATGCCACTCTTTTTACAGATGGAAGCAGTTTTTGTTGAAAATGGAAAAAGATATGCTGAATATGCAATAATAACTGCAACTACTGTGTGGGAAGCAGAACCACTTCCTCTAAACACCTCAGCTCAAAAGGCAGAACCGATAGCACTAATTAGAGCTCTGGAGTTATCAGAAGGAAAAGTAGTCAACATTTATACAGATTCTAAATATGCATTCACTACCTTACATGCACATGGAGCATTATATAAAGAAAAGGGACTACTAAATTCTGCTGGGAGATAAATACAACATAGTGAGACCATTCTGAGATTGTTAGATGCTGTCTGGGTTCCTGCATCAGTAGCAGTAATGCATTGCAGAGGACATCAATGTGACGAGGAACGTGTGACTTATGGAAACTGGTATGCTGACACCACAGCAAAGGCCGCGACCCAAAAGCGATGAGGAAAAGAGCTGA